TTACGCTGAGGTAGAAGAAATGTCGAGCACCATTGCTGCCCTGAAGTTGGAAAACCAAGCTCATTCTTCTTCATCAATGAATAGACCGACTACATTACATGGGTACCCCAGTAATGCCATGCCTCGGAATGAATGTGAAGAGAAGTGTGCCAAACTGAAAGCAGAGTTGGACGAGGTGAAGCAAGAGAGGAACGCTGAAGTTCGAAATCTTCAAGATGAGTTGAAGAAGATGGAAGATCGTAAAGATTACTATAAGAACAATTTCTCTCAAGCTGAAGATCGTGCCAATGATGAAGAGCAGGAATACCGAGCAGAAGCTGAAGCCTTCGAGAAGCTCAGGAACGAGTACAACACAAATGTCAAGGAGTTGGAGAACCTTGAAAGGGATAGATCCAAGTCATCTGTATCTCTAAGAGAAGCCGAAAAGATCAGCCTCCAACCCTGGCCTAAGACCACTGAACTTTCATCCTGGAAGGGAAGTGTCGTTCATGAAGTTTGCGTTGCAAGTGGAGATCGAAACTATGAAGATTGGAAGGCGTGGTTAGCTCCGTGTCTTGCAGATCAACCTGACTTGGAGGCGCTGGCCAAAGCTCCTGATGTGAGATTCCAATCCATTGATGCCAAGCTCTCCAATGCCTTGAGGAAAGTCATTGACAATGCTGGGGACAAGTCCATGCAAGTGAAGTATGACATGTCCATGAAGAACCAATTGTATGGGAGAAGTGGGGACTTCATCAAGGGACGAGAACTATTTGCAATGATATTGATTAGCTTCAAGTCACCTGACCACACTGAAGTTCTCTACAATGCCCATCATTTGTATATGTTCAACTACTATGGAGATGACCAACTTGAGGCCTTCTACAACAAGTGGCTTGACATCGTATACAATATGAAACATGATGATCTGCCTTCCAACAATTCCCTGCGTGACACATTGTTCCGGAAGATTGAACATTCAAAACTTATGGCCTTCGATATCAACCGATACAAAACCTTTGATGAAGGGCATCATGAGAAGACCTATGCTTACCTAACTGGTATGATCAAGGGATACATAGCACGAGGGAAGCAAGAACGACTGTTGAAAGATAGAGAACGTGCAGTGAAACTGTCATTGTCCTCTAACAAGACGACACCTGCCTTAGAAGATGCAGACAAGCCTGCCGCTCCCGTCAAGACCAAGAAGGAGAATGAAGCGGCTGCATCGTCTACAGGTGATCCTCCCAAACGTCCTAAGGCGAAAGCGAAGAGTGAAGCTGCATCGGTACTTCCTACACCTTCTCCGAAATCCCATGCCGACAAGAACAACAAGAAAGGCAAAGGTGGGAAGGGAAGATCATCTTCACCCGTTGACAAGAAGAAGATTTTCTGTAACTACTTCTTCAATAAAGGAGGATGCAACAAAGGTGACAAATGTCTTTACAGTCATTCTCAGAAGGTCTATGATGCCAAGATGAAAGGTAAGAAAGGCAGAAGCGGAAGTCGAGATTCATCAAGAGGGAAAGGTAGAGGAAGTTCATCTTCAGCTGGACCCAAAAAGAAGGTATGTTGGAATTGGCAAGAAGGTACCTGCAAGTTCGGAAACAAATGTAAATTCCTACATGCAGATAAATCGCCTTCAGCATCCTCAGAGAGAACCAGCAAGAAGACACCAAAGAAGAAGGCGACTCCCATTACCATTGATTCCTTCTTTGATAGCGACAATGAAGATTCCATGGATTATACCTCACCGAGGATAGCCAGTGCAAAGAAGTCTTCTGATGATCGCAGGATCTCATTTGATCTGGAACCTGAGGTGCACGAGATCGCCATTGAGGACTACCAGGAGGGACTACCCAAACGTATGTATCGTGACCCCAACAAGCAATATGTTTTCTGGAAAGTCGATGATTTGACCGACGATCAGTCCAAGTCCGACAACACCCTCGGTTCAGTCCGAGCACGGGCCAAGGCTATCATCATGGACAGATGTGGACTCCATCGTTTTGTTGATGAAGTTAGAATCATTATTGGCCCCAAGTTCGACATGTTGATCAAACTGGACAATGATCGTGATGACTTGACTTTTATTGAAGAGCTTGTTGAACACGAAGTTGGAAACTCCCTCATGAAGTCCAAGAACATAATGTGCATTTCACTACCAGTGCAAGCCAAAGATCGTAGATTCATCCTGGATTCTGGCAGCGGGCATGATCTGATTTCTGCAAGGAAAGCCGAAAGGATGAACTTGAAGCAGCGAACTTGTGATCCTATCATGTTCCACACAGCCAACGGTTCAACTGCTACTCAGACAGAAGCAGAGATTGACCTGGGAACCTTTGATGTGACCTCTCATGCCTATGTACTGGACGACACTCCGTCCGTGATGTCTCTTGGGAAACGATGCATGGAAGAAGGATATTCCTTTTGTGGAAATCAATTTACAGCCAACCTTTCTTTCAGCTTGTTTCAGGATCTCTCATATCGCAAGGCGCCTTGGGCCCAGGAAAAGATCGGTGAGGTGCACCGTATTGCCCCTAGCTTTTGTTAGTGGTAGAGCGGAGCCCGGCTCTGACCGTGGCTAGTTGTGCTTGGCCGCCATGGCCCGTTCTTTCTATCCCGGCGCTTCGGTGCCGTGTTCTTCGACTGGCAATGTGCCATGTGGCTTTGGATCTACTGATGCTTCAAGCCGTATAGCACCAAGCTTCGCAGCCCCGAGCTCTACTGGCAACCCTCTAGCTACGTCTCCAATGAGATCACCTAGTGTGGCTGCTGGAACCGCGGATGCTCGCGGCTGTGGGTTAGGTGTGAGTGCCAATAGTTTTTCTGCTTCACCAGATTTCCCTCAAGGGGACCCGTGGAGTAGGTTTACACCAACTACGGAAATGGAAGGTCAATCACAACAGCCGGTCACAGGGACCGGTGGAATTTCGAGCCCAATGCATCAGATGTTTCAATCAGGATTTTTGCAATCACCACCTGCCTCTCCAAACAGGCTAGTTGGAAACCCAGGTCTTGGTGGACTTCCGAGACAACATGGACAAGCTCAGACAGATGTTGAATGGAATTGGAACCCACCAACCGCTCCAGTAGGACAGCCTCCTGATCAATCTACTTGGTATAGTTCGTCTTCACCACATGTTCCTGTAAGTCAATCACACCATGGACTTTCCGGAATTCAACAACCTTGTGGATTTGTTGGACATTTTGGACATCAAGGACTTTCGGGACAACCAGGACAACATGTTCCATGTCAAGGTCAAGGCATAGGAGGTTGTCAAGGGCAATTTCCATGTGGTTCAGCAACTAATGTGGGCAGTAGCAACATAGCAGCTGGTCTTGCTGCTAACATGTCTCCCCAAGCTCAAGCAGCATCACCCGTGCCACAGGTGAGTTCAGCTTTCGATCTTCTTGGAAAGCCCCAACCGGCACCAGCAAGTCAAGGACCAGTGCCTGACCAGCATGAAATGACCCGGCAGTTGATCAATGCACTTGGGGGTGAGCGCAAACCTCTTCCTAGTTGGAATGGGGCACCGAGTACTCTGAGAACTTGGTTGAAGATGTTAGCGTTTTGGGAAATGGACAATACCACTCCCAAAGCGAAGTGGGGACTCAAACTGTATCAATCGCTGGCAGAAGGAAGTGCAGCGCGAAAGGTAGCTGACCAAGTCCCTACTGAAGTCATTCTTTCTCAAAACGGCTATTCTTCAATACTCCAAGCCTTGACTCAGAAATATGCTCCTTATTTAGCCATTGCCGCCCCTGCTGCCATTGACTCCTTTTTCTTTAGCGGTGACCGAAGTCGTGGTGAAAGTTTCAATTCATTTGTTGCAAACAAAGAGATTCAACGTCAAGAGATGAATTTGATGGTGGGGCAAGAGGTAAATGATTTGGTATGTGGTAGAATTCTTTTACGTCAAGCGAACTTGACTGACCTTCAACGTGAGCTGCTGGCCATCAAAGGGACCGCACTTTTCGGCTTCCACCAGATGGCAGATATGCTGAGGACCCTAGATAGGTCTGAGGTGATCTCCAAAGGGAGCATGATGGGCTCTTCGGCGGGGAACAACACCACCAAGGCGTTCTTTGGCATGGAAGCTCATGAGGATGATGGTCAAGGAGAAGATGATGGAGCAGCATCTGAAGAGGACGATGCCTCGACCACGACGGTATCAGATGGCTTCATCATGATGGAGGACCGAGAATACACAGAGATGGAAGCTGTGTATCTTCAAGCATATCAAGATGTGCGCCGCGACCTGAGACAAAGAAGGCGTGAGCGTGGATATATCAAGCATCAACGTCAAGGAGGACGAAAAGCATCGCGTGGAGGGCGACATGAGCGCTCTGGTGGACGTGGTCATCCTAGCGGAGGTGGACGATCTCAACAACACCCAAAGAAGTTCAAAGGCAATGCCCAAGACCTCGCATCGAGGACCAAATGTTTCTCTTGCGGAGAACTTGGACATTTTGCTGCAGATTGTCCTCGCCGTCGGCAACAAAGTCAGAGACAGAAACCTCCTCAAGGAAGTCAAAGTCAGACATTTGTTGCTTCGACGGGAACTCCTCAGGTGACAACTACGGTTGGCGTGATGTACAAGGACATCCAGATCTTCAATGCTTTGTCAGTGCGAGGCTTTGAAGCCCTTCTCGACACTGGAGCTGAAGAAGGAGTTCTTGGCACCACTGCCTACCAGGCGCTTCAACAAGAGCTTTTGCAGTTTGGTCTGACAGATGTCCGAGTGAGCGTCCCTCCAACATCTTGTGCAGGTGTTGGCGGGCGAGTGGATCCTTTGTTCACAACAGATGTGCCAGTTGGAATTGCTCAGCTTCATGGAGTGATCAGGTTCACAGTACTCCAGGATTCAGAGGATGTGCAGACTCCTCCTCTTCTACCTGTGAGTTTCCTGGAGACCATTGGCGCTTCCATTGATTTGCAGTCCAACACTTTGTCAACTCGCTGGGGCCACCAAACTGGCCTACGCCGATTGGCATCGAAACACAGGGTCGTGAACATGCTGGACTATGGTTCTCGTCCATGGCGACTTCCTGATGTGCATCGTGGGCCTTCAGGTACCGATCCGTTTGTAATCCAACAAGAATATGATCAACCAGCACTTCAACATCCACCGATGCCGATTCCAGATGGTGACCAATCTGGAGTTCAATCTGGAAGTCACCGAACCACTCGTGCTCGCGATCGTGCAGATCGTCCTGCTCAAGCTCGCAATGTGATCGGCAGTTCGCACATCAGATCAAGGTCTAGAAGCCTTCCAGCCAATGTTTTGATCAACCAGGAAGTGACTCCACGTCATCCAGCACGTCCCCTTCGTGACGTCTTGGTGTGGTGCAAATTGGCCAATGGGCAGATCGAACACATCGAAACTGTCCCTGGACCCGTCACGGAGCTGTTGCATCCGGTGCAAGCGTTCAGCCGCTCCCATGTTCAGGCATTGACCCCTCGCCGCCTCACTTTGATGGAATGGGCGACTGTTGGTGGTGGACCGGATCGTGTCCCACATCGTTTCATAGTGGATGACTGTTGGAACACATGGTCTCCAACTGATCCAGCAGAATATGCCTGGCATGGTCACGTGCTTTTCTTTGAAGACCCGGTGCAACATGCTCCAGAAGGTCCAACGTTTGTACCAACCGGTTTGTTGCCGGGCCAGTCAGATCCTGACTTGGCATATTACCTCAATGTTTGGGCAGCCAGCCCCAGTCCTTTTAGCGGCTACAAGGGTGCTCATTCTACAGTTTTTTCAGGGGAGTGGGAAGTGTTTTTGGATTTTGACGACTCATCGTCGTTGCCATCTTCAACAGCTTTTGATGTCGCTGTTCTCGATGCAACGGCCTCCAGGACACAGCCATCTCCTGCTGCAAGCCGAGCATCATACCTTGTGTCCGGTTCCCCAAGCCATCAGACTGAGTATTTTGACCTGATCAACAATGACTGCGATGAATGTTTGGAGTTTCAGAATGAGCAAGTTTTCAACAACAACTCACTTTCCAACAAGGTGTTTCAGGCTTTGTCAAAGCTGAGGTGTAGGAGTAGGAGAGCCAGTTTCTCAAACGAGATTGACTGGATGGAATCCTCTGACAATGTCATGGATCAGACCAGTGTGGCAACCTCTTTTTCAGTTGCGAGCTGTGACATGCTCAAGAAACCCTTTTTGCAGCACGTGAGATCGTTCCTGAGCTCCATCTATGGCGTCCCTTCGCAGCCGGATTGGTCGCGCTGTGCAAATTTCCTCCGACGACGAAGCTCCTCGCAGCTCCAAGCCCAAGACGACGGAGTTGCAGCGCATGGCAGCTTGGAAGCGCATGACTTTGGCGCTGTTGTTGATGCTGGAGACAGCCGGCAAGCAGGTTGTCATGGACTACATCGCCAAGAAGAGCTTGGAGTTGAAGGACAACGACCAGGCACGAAAGGAGCACAACTTCAAGGACAAGAAGATGTCGGTCAGGAACCACAACAAGACAGCCATCATTCAGGGCATCGGCAAGCCATTGCCGCGCTCCACTTCGCAGAAGACTTGGCATGCGGATCCCATGAAATGCAATCATCCAGCCGAGTACATGCGATGCAGAGCCAATCCACACAGCAAATGGTGGGTTTGCCTGGAATGTGGAAGCCGTTGGCAACGGCTGATGGAGCCGTCGGGAGCATCGTCTTCAACGAGTGCAGTTCCCGAATGCCAGAATGCCCAACGGGTGGTGGAGGAGAAGACCGGCAGGAGCTATCCAGAATTCCTTCCAGCACCGAGGTCTCGCCCACAACAGGGCAACATTCAGTTGCAGAACGACTTGAAGGGTCAGATCAACTATGTGATCAAGCCCAAGGACGTCAATGTGGACAAGGAGACCAAGGTGGTGAAGACCGAGCCGGGGATTTTGGAACATGGGTCGCAAACTACCCGCGGCCGCAAGGTGAAGCAAGTCCAATCAGGCCTTCGTCCAACTCAAAGATCCAAGACACCAACATCACGCGGCCTGATGGAGGAGGCACAGGAGCTTGTAGCTTCGGATGGTTCTTGGGAAGAGGACATTCCCATGACGGTGCCGGTGGTGAATCTAGCGGACGATTGAAAACGGGTGCAGTGCTGCTGCCCGAGCAACAGCTTGGAGAGTACCAGCAGCAGGTGAGAAAATCCTTGCGAAGCCAAGGAATGGTTCCCAAATTACTGATGGTCCTTTTGACCGTTGGTTTGCAAGCCTTTTTGCATGACCCTGTACAAGATTTACGGTGGCTTTCAACTGGTGCCTTCAAGGTTGACTTAGCTGAAGAGTCAGCCCGTGCCGTTTCACAACAACCTGTGGCACTCTATGCCTTGCCTGGAGCCAATGAGGCGGTTTCACAGTCGGCAGCTGATTTGAGCGGAAGTATCAAGCAACTGCCGCGACCTGTGAAAAGAACCATACTGGCCTACTACAAAAAGAACTTCTCCGGCCAGTCCAGTAGCAAAGGTAGTGCGCACAATGGTGGCATTGATCTCATGGAGATTTACTCTCCCCCTCGAGTGACAGCCCGAGCACGTCGCTTTGGCTTGAAACATGGAGGAGCTCTAGATCTAGCGACTGGTTGGGACTTTACCTTGGAGAGCCATCGCGATGCCGCTTTGAAGTTGGTCAGGGAGCTCAAGCCAGCCTTGATCATTTTGAGCCCTCCTCGCCGAACCTTTTCAAGTTTGCGTCATCTGAGTGACCACAAGCGTAGCCGAGATGTTTTGGAGCGTGAGAAAAGTGAAGGTTTGGAACATCTTCGTTTCACAGCACAACTGGCTAAGCTGCAGATGAAAGAGCACAGAGGTTTTCTATTTGAGCATCCCATGTTTGCCAATAGTTGCGAGTCTGAGCCCTTGGCAGAGCTCATTGCCTCCGAGGGTGTGTTTCAAGTCAAGTTGGATATGTGTGTGTTTGGGCTGGTCACCAGAGACAACATGCCCGCTCTCAAGCCCACTATGCTGCTTACAAACATCGAAACCCTCGCCATTCACTTAGGTCGCAGATGTGAAGGACGACATCTCCAACATCAGCCACCGATTGGGGGCCGTGCAGCTGCTGCGGCAATCTACACGGATCAGTTTGTGGACAGCATCTTGCGAGCTTTGCGGCAACATCTCCAACTTCGACCAGAAGGTCATCCTCCACAGGACTACTGGTCATTCAACGGGGTTCAATTGGTTCGACACCATGTTCATCCTAGGATGGCACTTTTCAACCCTTCTCATGTGACCAACATCCCGGTTGAGATTTCTGTGTTGGGTGATCAACGTCAGACTGCAAACAACGTCAATCAAAAGTTGTCAGATAACTGGCGAAATGGCGGTGTCGTCAGTCCATGGCCTCAACATTGGACTGGCACTACAACCTTTTCCATTGCCGACCACATGGTGCTGCCGAATAACGTGGCGCAATTGGCGAATTGGTGTGCGTCCTCTGCGGCCCATGCCTTATTTACCTTTGTGCGGGAAGAGACAGACTTTATCGTGGAATGGGAGCAACTTCAACCAGACTTGCCAGCAGAATCTCAACTTCCTTCATTGCACACTTTTCCAACGCGCAAGATTTTGGGGGGCGGTGACACTCCTGCTGATGATGGCGTTTTCGAGGATGATGCGGACGCTGGTGGTTTTTCAGTGCCTGTGCAAGACTTCTCAACTCCATCAGTGGGTTCGTCTTCGACCTCCTCTCAAAGTTCTTCAACGCCCTTGCAGAGCTCTATGCGCGATGGTGCAATCCCTTCGAGACTGAGGAAAGCCTTACCCACTATCGAAGAAGCCAAAGGCGAAGACGCGTTGGAAGATGAATTAGACATGGAGGTGGAACGAGCTGGACGCGAAGTTCGTGGACCTCAAGCTTCAGCCCGAACGGCAGAACAGATTGAGGAGCAGACGCTGCATCCCGAGCTTCGACGTGAACTTTACAGGCTTCATAGAAACCTTGGACACCCTGACCAGGAAAGGTTTCTTCGTGCTCTACGACATGCTGGAGTACGACCTGAAGTGATACGATGGGCAAAGATGTGCTTCAAGTGCCCATTGTGCGAAAGCCGGAAGAAACCAAGTTCTCAAAGGCCATCTCATCTGGTGAAGAGTCTCAACTTCAACGAGGTCGTGGGGATTGATCTGTTCTTTGTCAGGAGCAAGCCTCTGTTGAACGTTCTCTGTTGGGGGACCGACTTGATGCATGTCGAGATCTTGCCCAACAAGCGCTCCGATGTGGTGCTCGAAGCGTTCCTTCGGGGCTGGGTGGCCCACTACGGACCCCCTCGCCTTGTAGTATGTGACCAAGGACGAGAGTTCCTTGGAGAGGCCTTTGCCAACAAGATCAACCAGCTGGGCATCCTTCTGCACTTCACGGATGTGAGGTCACCTTGGCAAAACGCCAGAACTGAGCGAGCCGGCGGTGCCTTCAAAAGCAAGTTGGAGACGATCATCCACGAAACTTCTGCAGAAGGTGAACATGAGTTTGCTTTAGCTGTTTCTGAAACCCAGGTAGCAAGAAATCGCTACATGAACCGTGCGGGCTTTACGCCCTACCAGCGGGTTTTCGGAACTATGCCACGACTTCCTGCTTCCATGCTGGCGGATGACTACTTGGATCGTGATCTGGTGCTCTCCAGCGGCGGTGATGAAGTTCGCAGAGCTTGGGACATCCGAGATGCAGCAGCCGCAGCATGGATGAAGTCGCAAGACTCCGAGGCAGTTCGCCGAGCTTTGAGAACAACGACCCGAACAGCCGACCTGAAGAAACTTGAGCCTGGTGACGTTGTGTACGTATGGCGCAATGTTCCAGACTACCACGGCTGGACGGGCCCAGGTGTCGTTGTGGCAGTGTCTGAGAATGGACGGTCGCTTTGGGTGAGCATGAGGGGTTATCTCATCAAGGCCAGCCGGGAGCAGAGCCGAGCAGCAACCTCTGAAGAGAGCTTGGGCGCTGAACTTGTTCAAGAACTCTCCAAAGCCATGCTGCAGGACATGGAGTCTGGCAACATCTCCCACTATCGGGACATTGAAGGTGAGGGCGGGCCCGACGATGATGTAGTTGCACAACCTCTAGAAGGAGAACCACAACCTCCTCTACCAGAAGTTCCAGCAGAAGATGAGGATGTGGAAATGCAATCATCCGCCCAAGAACCCGAGACTCCAGCTCAAGTCCCTGCTCCGTTTGAGGCTGATGACCTACTGATGGATGTGGACATTCCTGTCCCTCAACCTCCAGACCCCGGCCAAGACCAAGGCGATGGCTCTACCAGAACTCCGTCCATTGCTCCAGAACCAGAAACCCCAGTGCCAGCCACAACACCTTCTTTAACACCCAGGACCACTGCAACTCCCGCTATGAGCAGAAGACCGAGCGGTATCCAAGTGGATGAAGGCGCAGGAGGACGGCTGACTTCCTCGTTTGGGCCTATGCGAGAAACGCGAGCTCAACTGACTATGCCGTATCCCTTTTCGGCACCAGCACCTCCAGCATGGCCTTCATCAACCAGGAGCTCAAATTTCTACAACGTTCTCCCTGAAGACGACACTAAGAAAGTGTTCTGGAAGTACATCAAGTCCCGTAAAGATTCTATGCCTACGCCTCTGGATGAAACAACTTATGAGCTCAAAGATGCGTGCGGCATGATCAACTACAAGGACTCCAAGATGTACCTCACCAAGGCCAAGACGAGCCCTGGGCAGGTCACTTTCACACAACTTCCTCCAGAACAAGTTCCTGCTTTTCGAAAGGCCCGGGACAAGGAGATCAAAAGTCTAGTGGATTCCGGTGCAGTCCGCATCCTGTCTATTGAGGAAAGCCTGAAGTTCCTCAAGGAGAATCCAGACTGCGTCTTGGAAAGTCGCTATGTGGACAGATGGAAGCCAACCGACGCTTTTGGCGTCCTTCCTAACGAGTTCTACGACAAGGGCTTCAAACCACATGAACATCCAGGACTTGCAGCGAAGTCAAGGTGGTGCGTTGTGGGCTGGAAAGACCCCATGATCCACGAGATTGAGAGATCAGCGCCCACACCCTTGACCTCTTCAATGTACTTGTTCCTACAACTATGTTCCTCTAGGAAGTGGACAGCGAGGGCCAAAGATGCGAAAACGGCATTCCTTCAGAGCAGGCCGACCACTCGGCGCCGAAAACTCGCCTGTCGTATGCCCAAAGACGAGACCTTTCCTGGTTACGACTGGCGTCAGCTTATCCTTTTGCTGACTGAGGTATACGGACTGGTGAGTGGACCGGCCTGGTGGCGACGAAGTTTCTTAGAGCTTTGCGTGCAAGAATTGAAGTACCGCGTCAATGTGTATGACCGATGTGTACTTACTTTGGATGGCCCTGAAGATCCTCAAGGAGGTGAAGTGCCGACACGTGGCATAATGGTCATCGAAGTGGATGACATTCTTGAGGCTGGTGATGAAGTTCACCGTCAAAAGATGCAGTGGTTGGAGAACAAGCTTCGCTTTGGAAAAGTGGAGAATCTTCAGATCAATGTGGAAGGCTCTGGCTATGCTGGCAGACGCCTCAAGCAGAACCAGGACTTTTCCTTTGAGTATCACATGACGGACTACATCAACAACCGTCTCAAGCCGATTCAGTTTGATCGCAAGTTCTATAAGAAGGACACCGCCAACGAAAAGCTCAACCAAGAAGAAGAGCAGCAACTTCGTGGCATCATTGCAGCTATAAACTGGGTTGCAAGAGAGGGTCGCCCTGACGCCTCGACATCAGCAAGCATCCTTTCCGGCATTTTTCCCAATGCGACGCTGCAAGACGCCTTGGAAATTAACAACGTCGTCAAACACCTCAAAGACAACCCGATCACCTTGCGTATTCATCCTATCCCTGAAAAGGACATCAGGCACGTGGTCATCTCTGATGCGAGTTTCGATGTCACGGGAAAGGTGAAACCGCAACATGGTTGGGTACAAGGAATCTCCACCCCACAATTGAATGCTGGCCAGGTTGCTCCGTTCAGCATCATTTCATGGAGATCGCGGAGGTTAAGAAGGAAAGCAGGGAGCACTATGCTTTGTGAGGCGATCAGCCTTTCTACAGCCCTTGGCGCACTTGAGAAACAGGTGGCAGTGTTTGAAAGCTTCCGAATCTCAAGGTTTGACCCGCAGACTATGGTGGGAGGCAGCTTTGAGTCCCAGATGGGATTGCGTGGGCCTCCGACTGTTATTGCTAGCGAAGACCCTCAATTCTTGGATCCCAAAGCCATTGCGTTGGTGGATGCTAAAGCTTTGTTCGATGGTGCAAACAACGAACAGGCACAAGGCGAAGACGATCGCAGCGCTCTGGAAATTGCGGTCATCCAAGAATCCTTGGCAAAACTGGCAGGCAGAATGCGATGGATCCCACACAACCGAAACCCAGCTGATGGACTCACTAAGCTGTTGTCAAAGAGCCACTTAGCACCTCTTCTGGACCTCATCCGTACTAACATACTGCAGATTGAGGAAGAAGAGCAAGTGCTCGACCGGGAGAAGCAAAGTGAGTGCAGACAACGTGCACGGGCATAAACCAGTGGCTGAAATCAAATGTCGAAGACATTTGCAAAATTTTGGGGGGCTGTGGAAATCAATTTACAGCCAACCTTTCTTTCAGCTTGTTTCAGGATCTCTCATATCGCAAGGCGCCTTGGGCCCAGGAAAAGATCGGTGAGGTGCACCGTATTGCCCCTAGCTTTTGTTACTTTGTATGGCCATCTGGTCAAATGCCTTTCATGATTACGAAGAATGGAGAACGCATCGATTTGACAATCCATGACAACATCCCCTACGTTGATCTTGGAACTTACGAATGCACTCCTCATGAATGTCATCATGCATCAAAGATCCATGACCTATTGATACATCCTCAAATCGGAGTCAATGATTTCAACGACATTGATGATGTTGGTCAACCCTCACGAAGAGTACATCTCGATGGAGAAAGTGGTCTTGAGACATCAACTGAGGATCACAACTGTTCCCGATATGTCAAGAAGCTCAAGGTGAAGAAGAAGAAAAGAGCAATGAACCGGCAGAAACATTCAGCAACCCCAGAGAAGAAGAAGAAGAACCACCTGAGGGCGGCGAGTACGAACCAGGAACTCCGATTGACGAGCCTCCTGGAGACGAGACTGACTTTGAAGATGATGGTCATGGTGCTCCTGAAGATGCCGCTGAAGGTGATGAAGATGACATCGAGATCGATGTTGTTGAAGGTGAATCTAGGGTTGCCAAAAGAGGAACACTCAAGAGAGAAGCTAATAGCCTGAATCACAAGTTGACCCACAGATACAAGAATCCATATTGCGACTCATGCATTCGAGCAAAGATGAAGCATTTCAAGACTCGTCGTGGTGCATACAAGAGGGAACTCAAGAAGTTTGGCGACCTCATTACCTTTGATGCGGTGGACACATCCAAAGTCCATGATGACGTGTTGGTCCTCGAGAAGGAAGTGTTGGTTATCAGAGACTGTTATACAGGAATCATTGGTGCTTATCCATCTGATCGAATGACCAAAGACGATGTAGTTAGAGCAGTGAAACAGTTCATCGGTGCCAAGAAGGTTAGACAGGCCTACTCTGATCATGCTCCTCAGTTCATTGAAGCTATGAATGAGATGAAGATACCAATTGATCATTCGTTACCTGGAAGACCTCAAACCAATTCAATTGCCGAAAGAACGAACCAATTTATTCTCACAGCTACTTCTACATGTCTTTTGGAAGCTGGATTACCACCTTGTTTCTGGAGAACAGCAATCCTTTGTGTATGTCATCTACTCAATGCGGAACCCAACGATGATGAATTGAGCGCTTGGTGCAAACTCCATGGGTCTGAGTTTGCTGGCAAACTCATTCCCTATGGTGCTCGTGTGAACTACAAGCCTCCGAAGACCAGAGAAGCAGGACAACTTCACAAGTTTGGGCCTGATTCTATTCCAGGAGTGTTTGCAGGGTATCACATTGGTCCAGGGATGCATTGGTCAAGACAATACAAAGTATGGCCTCTGAGTGAATTCGTACATCAAAATCTTGGTGATGATGCTAGCAAACCTGAACACCGTCTTCTCAAACCTCATTTGACTGAAAAGGTCGAGATGGTCACTCCATTGACATTTCCATGCAAGCAGGAATATGAGAGGGTGAACACCACATTGGAAGGGATGAAAGAAAGAGAAATCCTCGATGGCGATCCCTCCAAAGTGCCTCATGGAGATGACGAAGAACATGACCATGATGAAGATGATGATGAGCTTGATGACGGAGACGACGGTGGACCTGGACCAAGTGGTGGAAAAGTCTCAAAGAAGCCTCTTGATGACCCTGAGGATATCTTCGACAAAGACAAAGATCCAGAAGAGATGACCCTCCAGGAATTGATCGACGCCCAACCAGACCATTGGAAGAAGGGCAAAGCTGGAGATGGGAAGGTATACCTCAATGACGATGGTGAGAAGGTCAAGTTGAACGTCAAGGGTTACCCATACAAGATTGGAGATGATGGTAGACGAATGTTCAGGACGTCATTGCGTCCCAAAGGGACCTATTCTCCTGAAGAATGGCGCAAACTCTCTCAATCTGACCGGAATACCATCCTCAAAGCCGAGAAGAAGAAGTTGGAGAAGAAAGAGGCCGATGACAAAGCCAAAAGATTGGTCGAAGAAAAGAAGAAGAAGGCAACGAAGAAGGAGAAGAAAGATTCAAAGAAAGACAAGGACGAGCCAAAGTCCAAGGACGATGAAGGTGGTGATGAAAGTAAGAAGGATGACTCTCATTCAAAGTCAAAGAAATCCGATGCAGGTGTTGGTGAAGTTGTGAAGAACAAAATTACCTTACCTATCACATGTACAAGTACTTATCTTGATTTATACGACATAGTCGATGATGACGATGTACATGGAAGACGATATATTGATTGTCGAAAAGTGAAGAGGAATGCTGATGCTAGTCCATGTTCCGATGCTTCTACTGACGTCCCGGACGACGAGGAATATCTCACTGAATGGGATGAATGGTCGGAGGTCGAGAAAGGACGTGGCCCAAAAGCATCGTGGAGTGGTGAAGTTTGGAGCACATTGTCAGGTGAGATTTCGAGGTTTTCCATGGCTACGCCAGGAGAGTCGACAATGATCAAAAATGGCAAATGTGTGAACGTCAAGAACGTGAAGAACATAGCCACTGATGATGATGAATACATTCCATTCCCAACTATGCCGTGTACTTCTGCATCAAATCAAAGTCACCGAACCAAGATATCATCAGAAGGTCTTGGAAGCAAACTTTTCAATGCAATGGTTTCACGACCTGTGGGCAGAGCCGAGATTGAGTCTAACCCAAAGGCCAAAGAGGCAATGCTCAAGGAGTGGAAAGGCCTTCGTGATCAAGAGGTATTTGACTTTACAATGGTTCGTGAATACGACGATGTTGTTGCAGAGGCCAAGAAGAACAATAAGGAAGTACACATGGCCAGGGTCCATGGCATATGCGTGGAGAAGAACTACCAGCTGTCAGAAGACAATCCTGGACGAAAATTCAAGGGAAGAGGCGTTCTGCTAGGAAATCAGGTGAAGAATCAGCATTGGGAGGCAGCATTCTTCCAAGACTTGGGAAATTCCCCTGCTTCCTTTGAAGCCTCACGATGGGCAGATTTTTTCGGTTGTCTTCCTGGGCACTCCGTCAAGTTGGCAGATGCGATTCAGGCTTACATCCAGGCTAAGTTGAAGGGACCTTTGTGTTGGGTGGAGTTACCCACTGATGCATGGCCGCCGGAGATACAGTATTGGAAGTTCCGTCGCCCTGTCGTAAGACTCGACAAAGCCCTGTACGGACACCCTGATTCAGGCACGATGTGGGAACAACATTGTGACAAGAAAGTTCAAGAAATTGGTTTTAAGCCCATTGGTGAGGAATGGCCTTCTATGTATTTTCATGATGAGCTCAAATTGCTGTTGGTAATCTATGTGGATGACCTTAAGCTTGCTGGGCCCTCCGAAAATCTGGCCAAAGGTTGGGATATGCTGCGCACTGTTCTGCGCATTGAACCCGAAACCGATCTGGGACTTTACTTAGGATGTGTTTTATCCCAAGGTGAGACCCAATTGCATAACGGTAAGAAAGTCAAGACCATAACTTATAACATGGAAGGATTGTTAAAGTTATCGGTGGAAAAGTATCTTGACATCATTGGCAAGGACACAAAATTGAAAAAGGTATCAACGCCGAGCCTTCCAGAGGAAACGAAAAGCAGCCCGTATCGAGCTCCTTCCGATGGAAAACGCAAAGTTGAGTGTCCTTGGTGTGCACATTCCTTCGATCCAGATATGCCTGCTCTCTCTGAGACTGGCAACTCATGTCCTGGCCAAGACAGTGAGACGCTGAGCCGTGGGAATCTAGCTCCGCATGCAGCTAGTGTGCTTATGAAGCTGCTTTATGCAGCCCGCATTGCGCGGTTTGACCTGTTGAGATCCATCAATGCATTAGCACGTAATGTGACTAAATGGACGAAGGATGATGACGCCCGTCTTCATCACCTAATGTGTTATGTTAATTCCACATTGTCCCTCAAAATGATAGGATGGGTCGGAGACAAAATTGAAGATTTATCATTAGGACTATTTGCAGATGCGGATTTCGCTGGATGTGCCCAATCCTTGAGATCAACTTCAGGATCGCACTTACAAGTCCAAGGTAAGTTCACAAGATTCCCACTTGCTGGTGGAAGTAAGCGACAAGGGTGTGTTAGTCATTCTACCCCCGAAGCTGAAATTGTGGCTGCAGATACTGCACTTAGGACTCTAGGAATCCCCGCATTAAGTCTGTGGAAAGTCTTAGCCAAAGTTTTTCCTCAACTCCTGTTTCATGACGATAATCAAGGTATGATTGGTGTTGTCAGATCAGGACGGAATCCAACCATGCGTCATTTGGAGCGCACACATGGTATTTCCATTGCCTCCATGCATGAACATTTCCAAAAGGATCATTTTGTATTGATCTATGAAATTACAGCCAAAATGGCAGCCGATATCCATACTAAAGGATTCAAGAATCCCATGGCATGGAAGAAAGCTTGTATGCTAATCAACTTGTTGGAACCTCAGGACTTGCAGAGTAAAGAAGTCTTAGACATGTTGCAGCCAAGCACCGATGTCGATATGACTACTCGACAAGTTTTCCAATCCAAAACCGAGGATATCCCAAACTTCCCATACACGGAAACCCCTATTTTGCCAAAAGAAGTGTATAGGAAGGGTTTGACTAGTAAAGAGAAGCTACAATACTTGCCAGGTATGGATCCCATTTTTGTCGTCAAGCAACCGGTGTTTTATCGTCCTAGGCCGCCCGGCCTGATTGTGCCGCCAGATGTATTGAGATCCACATGGGTTCTTCTCAATGGTACCTGGACAAAGGTCGAACACCGTGCATCTCCACCCGAGCAGGCCATCAGATTTGATAAGTGGGTTGAACGAGCGTGTTTTCAGTATCATTCGCCTAACAAGCAGCCGTTGATCCCGGACACTGTTTCACAAT